TGCTAATTTCACGAATAGTGTGCACGTGAATTAAATGGTTTGATTTTCACAATAACGTATATTCCAGAAAAGAACCCGTAATGAAAACATGTTGTTTAGCAATAAAAATACAAATGTATTATCACTCAAACCAGTGCCCTTTTCCTTCATTTTGTTCCGGTGAGACTGCCGCATGCTGTAAACGTGCCTGCGCTGTATCCCGCAGACGCGAGCGGAATGCAGGCTGCAGGCTGCCGTGCTTCCTGCCAAGGCTGCCCTACTGCCTTGATGGTGGCACTGTGCATGTTTTGAGAGTTCCGCTCTTAAAAACACTGTTGCTTTATATTATATTTTCCCTCTGATTTTCTGGGTAACTCTCCACACAGCCTGCGGATGCTCTGTTGTCACTTTCATAAACAGATGTTCCTGGTAGGTAATAAATGTGAATATGTGCACCCAAGTATGAGGGTTTTTTTTATTTTCAAACAGGTTTGGGTACACTGAGATTGAAACAGCGCTTGAACTCACAAAGTACCTTGCCAGAGAAGATGAACTCTTCATATGGAACGCAGTACTGCTAAACCTAGTACCCGAGAATTTGGAAAGTACTCTGAAGAACTATGAAGTGTATCCCCTTATAAAGGTACCACTTCTTTTGTTATTAGGCAGAGAGACCAGGCCATTTAAGTAAACCGGACTGAAATGAATGCTTTTTAAATACTCCAGAATGTAATGGTGGCTATGATAGGTCATAATTCTTGTCACTCCTTCTGAACGACTTCGCCAACTTTTTTTTAAATAGGAGGAAATACTTATTTTTATATATCAATCAATGGTAAATATCACTGAATCTTGATCAATTTTATTGTAAAGCAGAAATATATTAATATTCTTTATATTAAGCTTGACCCTAGGTTTTTGTAAAAATGAGGATCTGGAAAATACAGCTGTCAGTCAGTAGTAAGTAATGGGAGTGACACTGCTGTGTGTAAGGGGTACACAGTGTGCTCAGCCTCTGTGGTTCATACTGCCTTCCACTTCATTGACAGAAAGAAGGAACCAGGTTTGGACACTAAATGACTTATTTCCTCCAATATTTGAGCTACCTGGGATGATACTGTTTTATTCATTTCCTTGACTCCTACTTGAAGAAAATTTTACTTTTATTTAAAGTACAATCCCAGAGTTCTAGTCCTCTTAAGTTCTACAATCATAGAATCATAGAACGGTTTGGGTTGGAAGGGACCTTAAAGATCACCCAGTTCCAACCCCCCTGCCATGGGCAGGGACACCTTCCACTAGACCAGGTTGCTCCAAGCCTCATCCAGCCTGGCCTTGGACACTTCCAGGGATGGGGCATCCACAGCTTCTCTGGGCAACCTGTCCCACTGCCTCACCACCCTCTCTGGGAAGAAGTTCTTCCTGATATCCAATCTAAACCTCCCCACTTTCAATTTAAACCCGTTACCCCTTGTCCTGTCACTACAGGCCCTTGTAAAAAGTCCCCCCCAGCTCCCTTGTAGCCCCTTCAGGCACTGGAAGGTGCTATAAGGTCTCCCCGGAGCCTTCTCTTCTCCAAGCTGAACAAGTCCAACTCTCTCAGCCTGTCCCCATAGCAGAGGGGCTCCAGCCGTCTGAGCATCTCCGTGGCCTCCCCTGGACTCGCTCCAACCAGTCAATAATCTTCTGATGTTGAGGGCCCCAGAGCTGGACATAGTACAGAAATGTTTAAAATAAGTGAGAAGAACAAAACATTTTCTATTGAGAAGTTCTTTTTCTGTCTTTTCATCTGAGAATGAGCATTTTTTTCTTTCATAAAAAGTGCAAGCGTCCTCCAGATGTGAAATGTTAACTTCCCAGTCTGAATGCATGTACAAGTGCGTTGAATTTAAGCCCAAATTTATGTACTTTATTTTAATGTGCTGTGTTGTCAAGAAATTAATAGTGGTAAATACTTAGGATAAATCTGAATAAGTAACAAAAAATAAAAACTTGCATCTAAATTAAAGTAATTTTTCTTTCCCTTCTTTTAAAAGAAATACCTTTTAAAGAGAATGTTGCCAATATACCATTATTATGCAGGTTTTATTCGTCAAAATGTTGATGCTTTGCAAGATGACTACTTTGCTCAGTAAGTATTCTGCTTTTCTCAAAAGTTTGTTTTGTTGTGATTGGATCTGATACACTGCAGGTTTCTTCTGTAAATTTAAATTCAAGATACAGGAAAAATGCTCTTAGTATTTTGAATGTAACTGATTTGTTATTTTTACTCTCCCATAATTGTGTGTTACTTATGGTGATACCTCTAATGAAACTGCAGTACCAGGATAGTTTGGGATATTTTCAGCCTAGTTAGTGAGAATGAAAGATGATAATTTAATGAATAATAGTTTTTATTCATTGGAGAACAGACTCAACAGCTGCTGCTAATGGGGGAAAAACTGAGACCAGTCTTGAGTATCAGAGTGATTTGAACTAGATGCAACTAGGCACTTAAAACTACCCAGAGTGATACACCCCACTTAAAAGAAAATAAGAAAAAAGACAGGCTACCTTGGTAGTTTCATTAACGTCCATGAATTTTTATGTCATTAACCCATTATTGGTAGTTTAATTTTTTATTAAACCTCAACTGTTTCTAATAGAGATTCTCCTGGGTTAACAGCATCATGTCAAGTACATGCACAGTTTAAGTACTCCAAATGTGGAATACATATCTTTTATTCTTGCTGTTTTGGCTTCCCTTCAAGAGCGTATTTGGAAAAACTTTTTGCAACAGCGTGCTTGCTGGGCCTCCAAGACTGTTTGAACCTGTCAGCAGAACTCTACGCTAAGTGGATGGACAACCCTGATTACAAGTAAGAATATTGATAATGTGCTCTTAGAGGGGTGCGTGCGTGAGGTGGATAGTTAAAGGGCCATTAAATGGGGGAGGCAGAATGAGAAATGCTCGAACAGGCTGCTCTTCTTGCTCGAAAGAATGAGAGCATTTACGCCTGGCTGTCATCCCCTCCCCCAAACCCCTATTCTTCCCCAAATCCCAGCTTTATGATGATTTCATAATTATTGCTTTTTATGTAGATTTTACAGGCTGGAGGATGCAGGTTTTTGCCAGGAAGACTAAAATCTGTTTAGACACATAATAGGTGAGCCTCAGGTTAGGGGTCATATCCCATACCATCCAGTCCTTTTGCTGCAGTACAGCATTAGGGTTATCATGTATACCAACTCAGCTTCTAAGCCCCTCTTAGCAGTACTGAGTGAAATGATGTTTGGGTGATACAGACGTCTGCCCGTGGTGATCCCCTCAAATTGCCTGGCATGTTCTGTGTTCCCATAAAGGGGTGCTGGGAACAGCTGTCAGTTCTTAGGCTAATTTTGGAGCCCAGTGGTCAGGTTTCTGGTCTGTGAGATTGGGGTTTGGGGTCCGCCAGGATCAGACTTTCTGTTTTCGAGTATTGCATTGTTAAGGAAAATTTACGATGTATTGAAATTCTTATTCTCTTTTCCTCCCTCTTTCTTTTTATGGTTTTCTATGCAATAGTCATATAGTTTTGGCACCGGTGAGTGAATATTTAAAGTTTATTATTATTTTTATTTGTTGGAGTGGTCATAAATATTTTTTTGTCACTTGTATCTCTCTTGATACATGTATTTGGCTAAGCAAACTGGACTTGTACTTTTGTCTGATTTTTTTTTTAAATAGCTTTGTAGTGATTAAGCTCATAAAAACCAGATTGTGCTTTGCAGTTAAACTGAAAAGTTTAAATAGCCTAAATACATTCTGCTGTGTTCCAGAGAGAATATTCCTATTAATCCATGCTGAAAGCAACAGTGCTGTGCTGAATTCTCAGAATGTTTTCAGAATAGTCACCTATCTCCCCTATTAATAACATTTTTTTTTCTTGGTGGAATACTAAATACCTTATCTGAGTTGAGCTGAAAAGTCTGTGAAATAGTTTGGCTGGTCTGTTTTTGAATTAGTTGAAGATTAATTTTGCTGTCCTTCCTGGCACTGAGATAGTTCAAAGGGTTTTACAGCCTCACACTTCACATGGGTATAAGTATGGAAAAGATTGCAACCACGAATTTTATTAAGTGAAAAAAATGGTCATGTTTTGAGGGAAAAAACATAGGAGATAAGAAACTTCTTAAGTTTCAAATGACACATCACAGCTCCTGTTCAATTAGAGAGGAGGCTTTTCATATGGTGGATAGAAAAGGAAAAGGGCATAATACATTTTGGCTCCTATTTCACAGACAGAACCCATTTTAGATGGTCTTACGTTCTCCATTCTGAGAGCAAAATCCATAACTGCACACTGTAGCTGTTCCACCACAGGTGGACCTCTGTTCTCACATCTGTGGAAGGGAGGCATGCTTTTCCCTGACAGCTAAGATAATCAACTTGCAGCGGAACATTTCCAAACAGTTCCTGGCAGAACTTAACTGGACTTGATGTGGTGCGTTTTTGTCTGCTCTGTGGGGATAACAAGCCAAGACCCGTGTGACTCCCAACCAGTTTCTCAGTTTTGCTCTTTTTTTGCCTATAGGAGTGAAGTGGAGCTAGCTAAATTAATATCTTCCCTGTGGTGCTGTTACTGATTGTCGGCTTTTGAAAGAAGGGAATGAGTTTAGCGGGAGGGAAAATGTTGCTGTACAGTTTAGTTATTTACTAAAGGTAACCCTATACTGATGTCGCCCTCAAAAATTAAGAAATCACTATGTCACTTGTGCGCTGGCTCCGTGAAGACGACACAAAATAGGCCAGCCTTCTTCCCAGAAGCTTGTCACATCTTCCCCAGGATCCAGAAATGAGAAAACCCTGGCAGGCACTCTTTAAAGGTGTGATCCGTGTCCCAGGCTGTGATGTGAGAGAGTGGCATTGATACTACTTGTACACAAAACACCTTGGTCCAGCTGTGCTAAAAGGTGTTTCTGGTTTGCCATTAAACAGCACGCTTTTGAATTGTTTGAATGATGAATAAAGCAATCCCATTTCCCAGCTATTTTTAGATTGCTATTTTTTACTTCCTTTCTTGTGCATCTTTTAACTGTAAATAGTTGTTTTCAGTGGTGTGTTAACTGTGGGTTTTCACTTTACAACGATGCAGTACCTTTTAACCATATTTTGCTTTACAGAATTCCCTTTTTAATTCGAAGAACAGTCTGCTGCTACGGTGTTGCCGTGGGAAGTGATAAAGAATGGGATTTTGCATGGGAAATGTATAACCGCACCGACTCCACGAAAGAAGATAAAGACATCCTGCTCTCTGCCATGAGTTGTGCCAAGGAATCATGGTTACTCTACAGGTGACCTTGGTCAAAGTATATCTTTGAGTATATAAAAGTAAACCGTAAGAACACAAATATTGTACTGTGCAAACCTGATGGAGGTTTGCCTGCCCCAGGAGAATATGGCTTACAGATGACTGGAAAAATCTTAAAAGAGTTTTCTTGTAGAGAAAGTATGATAAACAGGGCAAACACAAACGATCGTGCTGTTGGTACTGGTAATCGCTGAGAAAGGGATTTCCCAAGCTGATAGCTACTGCATCATGTGTAACACAGGGCCTGTGTACTGTCAATGCATCTAGTGACCTTTCTGACCTAAAATTATACCTTCAGGCTTTATAGCAGACTATGGCAACACATCCCATAATATAATTGCATGTTGTATGAAAACATGCTTCCTTTTGGTTTGTTTTAAGCCTATTCTGTGTTGGTTTTTAACCCATGGTTTTGGAACCCATTGACTGCCTTTACTCTCTGCACTGTAAGAAACAGTAATTATCATGATTTGCTTTGACTTATTTCCCTATCATTTATGATTTCATATAATTTTCACATATTCCTTCTCCCCTGCTTACTTTGTTTCCAAACTCAAGTGTCATAGTCTATTTAGCCTCTCTGTGGAAGCCAAATCCAGGTCAAGGGCAAGCTCTTCACCATCTGAAGTGCAGACTCACACTGCAAAGTATTATTTTTTAAATTTCTAGCTTCATAGAATCATAGAATATCCTGAGTTGGAAGGGATCCACAAAGATCATTGAGTCTAACTCCTGACTTCATGTGGGGCAACCTAAAAGTTAAACCTCATCATAGAGTCACAGAATGGTTTGGGTTGGAAGGGACCTCAAAGATCATCTAGTTCCAACCTCCCTGCCATGGGCAGGGACACCT